CACGAATTTAACCACCCATCCGTGGGGCTGGCCCCCTGTTCTCTCTTCTTGATTGCTATTTCCTGTCAATTTTTCTCCACACTGGCCATAATTCCACTGAAATTAAGAAATCCATGGACTGTTCTATATCATCTTACTTGATTTCTCAGCAGCATTCAGTAGAGTTGACCATTAACTGTATTTTGAAAACCCTTTCTCTTGACTTCTGTGACACTCCTTCTCCTAGCTTATTCCTACTTCATTGGCCACTGCTCCTCAATGTTCTTTCCTGGCTCCTCTTCTTCAACTCAACCCCTAAATGATGGGGTACCTAGGGCTCCATTCTGCACCCCTCTTTGTCTCTTCCTACACTCTCTCCCTAGTTACTTCACATACTCCCTTAGCTTTAAAATACCACTTTATGCAGATCACTCCCATATGAATCCGGACTTAGATACGCTACACCCTACTTGACATCTCTGTTGGGATGATTAATAGACCACTTGGATTTATCTCCCCAAGTCCCTTCCTCCTCTGATCTTCCCCTGTTGGCAAATGGCACCATCATCCCCCATTGCCGCTTAAGCTAAGAACTTAGGAGTCATCTTTGATTTTGCACTTACCCTCATATCCCACAACAGCATTAGTAAGTCCTATCTGCTCTAACTACAAAATTATATCTCTTATGTGTTGATGCTTCTCTCCATCTTCACTGGCACTACTATTGTCCAAATTAACATAATCTCTTGCCTGGACTACTGCAATAGCCTCTTAATTCATCTCCCTTCTTGCACTCTGCACCCTTACAATGCATTCTCTACAAAGCACCCAGAAGTAATCTTTTTACAAGTAAGTCATGTCTCTTCCCTGCTTCTCGCCCTACATTAGAATAAAATTCAAACTCCTTACCATTGCTTTGCATGAGCTGACTCCTGCCTGCCCTCAAGCCCTTCCCCTTTCAATCACCAAATTCTAGTCCCATAGACCTTGTTTCTGATCTTCCAGAATACATTGTGGACAGTCCACATTTTTCTATCTCATCTATAACAATACTGAAATTAGGTCAAATATGTTGCTGAAATCAAGGTATGTTATTATGTAAAGCAGTAGCTTTTAACCAGAAGTGGTACTGCCTTCTCCAGAGGGCTCCAAATGTATGAAGGCCTTTTGGGGTTGTCCAAATGACTGAGTGGATTGAGTAGGGGGAGGCTAGTCTCCATGAAATATTTTGAAGAATATTCTATCCAAAATTCCAATAATGTGCCATGTTGAGACACCTAGTCTAAGCCGTTCTTGTGTCCACAAAAAGAATTTAACAAAAATGTTAATAGCAACTTTATTCATAACAGCCCCAAATTGAAAACATCCCAGGTGTCCATCAACAGGAGAATGGATAAACAAACTGGGGCATACTCATACAACTGAATACTGCTCAGCAATAAAAGAGAACAAATTTTCAACACATGCAACATGATGACTCCCAAAAAATTATGCTGTGTGAAAGAAGCTTTATACAAAAAATTACATATGGTTTGATTCTATTTATATGAAAGTTCTAGTGGGGTAGCTACACAAGTTCTGAGGCCTAGGACAAAATGAAAATGTAAGCCCCTTGTTAAAATATTAAAAATTTCAAAATTGCTACTGTAGACCATTATACTAAGTGTAGGGTTCTTCTAAGCATGGAGTCCTATGTGACTGCACAGGTTGCACGCTCATGAAGCTGGCCTTGAGTGCTAGAATATGCAAACTAATTTACGATAAAAAAGAAATTAGAATTGGTATTGCATCTGGAAGGAGCAGGGATTGACTGGGAAGGGAAACATAGAACTTTCTGGAAATGATGGTTATATTTATCTTGATAAGAGTGCGTATCACAGGTCTATGCATTTGACAAACATTTAATATTACACCTAAATTTTTTTTATTATTGTTTTACTACAAAAGAAAAACAACTCTAAACAAACACTGATCTCTAGTTAATGATGTACATACTGAAGTAGTTAGAGAAATATATATACTGAAGTCTGCAACTGACTTGGAAACGCAACAAAATAAGATAGAAGGCAGATGGATGGATAGGTATGCGATAAAGCAGGTGCAGTAAAACGTTGGATATTTCAACACTCTTTGAGCAATAATTGGTAGAAGAGGTAGACACAAAATCAGGAGGAATACACAAGACCTAAACAACCCCATCAACCAACGTGAACACTCCACCTGACAAATATTTATTCTTTTCAAGTGCACATGGAACCTTCACCAAGATAGGCCATATACTGGGTTATAAAATGAGTCTTAATAAATTTAGGATTGAAATCACCCAGAATTTGTTCTCTGGCTTCACTGAAATTAAATTAGAAATAAGTAACAAAAAGATATCTGGAAAATCTCTAAATATTTGGAATATAACACACTGCTAAATAACCTATGAGTCAGTGAAAAATCATAAGAGAAACTAGAAAATATTTTTAATTGGATGATAAATATACCACAACATATAAAGATGTGTGGAATGTAGCTAAAGACGTGCTTAAAAGGGATATTATAAGTTTAAATGCTTATAAGAAAGGTCTAAAATTATTATCCAAGCTTCTACCTTAGGAAGTTAGAAAAAGGAGAGCAAATTAAGTCCAAAATAAGTAGAAGAAGGGAAATAATAAAAATAAGAGAAAAGGGGCCAGCCCGGTGGCACAGCGGTTAAGTTCCCACATTCCAATTCGGCAGCCCAGGGTTCGCGGGTTTGGATCCCGGGTGTGGACATGGCACCGCTTGGCACACCATGCGGTAGGTGTCCTACATATAAAGTAGAGGAAGATGGGCATGGATGTTAGCTCAGGGCCAGTCTTCCTCAGAAAAAAGAGGAGGATTGGCAGCAGTTAGCTCAGGACTAATCTTCCTCAAAAATAAATAAATAAGAGAGAAAACAAAGGAAATAGAAAACAGACAAGCAATAGAGGAAAATCAATAAAAACAGAAACTAGTTTTTTTAAAAAAAGCAATATAATTCATAGATCTCTAGCTAGATTAGTAATTCAAAAAAAAAGGGAAAAGATACAAATTACCCACAATAGGGATAAAAGAAAAGACATCTTTACATATTCTACAGATATTAAAAAGATATAAGGGGACATTATAAACAACTTTATCCAATAAATCGGACAATCTAGGATTGGAAAAAATTTCTTGAAAGACACAAACACTAACACAGTCACAAAAAGAAATAGAAAGTCTAAATCACCTGCTGTCTATCAAAACATTGAATTTGTAACTAAAAAAGACCTCCAGGCCCAGATGGCTCCATTGGTGAATGCTAACAAGCATGCAAGAAATAAATAATATGAAATCTACAAAAACTCAGAAATTAGAGGACAGAACACTTCCCAACTCATTTTAAGAGGCCAGCATTACCCAGACAAATTGATAGCGATTAAGAAAACTGCAGATAAAGATCCCCATGAACATTCGTGCAAAACTCTTTAACAAAATTTTAGCAAACAGAATCCCAATTTACAACAAAATAGTACATTATGACCAAGTGAAGTTTTTCCCAGGAATGCCAGGTTAGTCTAACATTCAAAAATAAATGTAATGGGGCCGGCCGAGTGGTTGGGTTCGAGCGCTCCACTTCAGCGGCCTGGGATTTCACCGGTTCGGATCCTGGGTGCAGACATGGCACTGCTCATCAAGCCACAGCAGGGTGGTGTCCTGCATGCCACAGCTAGAGGGACCCACAACTAAGGATGTGCAACTATGTACCAGGGGGCTTTGGGGAGAAAAAGGAAAAATAAAATCTTTTTTCTTTTTAAAAAAAGAAGAATTAATGAACAAGTAGAATGAATACCAAACTGCTAACAATGATTATCTAAGAGAGGGGTTTGCTGGGTAGTGGTCGAGAAGAATTTTCATTCTATATGATGTACTTTCGTTTTCTACTAACGTATTACTCATGAAATAAAAATTTTAAGAACTAGTAGCCGATTATAGTAAATGTTTACATGTTTACGTATTTAAATGTTTACTTTTCTTTAGCCATCTGCAAGAATAACATTCACCCCAAGTAAGGTTTCATTACATGTTGCATATTACACACACACACACACACACACTACACTCTAAAATCTACGTGAAGAAACTGTAGTATAGGATATTGATTAAGTAATTTTCTTGAATAGCCCCCCTAATTGTTTCTTTCTAAGGAACATGATACTAACTTTTCTCCAAAGCTGTTTATATTTAATGTGTTCTTTTTGATTTAGAAGTATCCCTTAACATTCAAGAGAAAGTCATAACCAAAATCACTATTTTATCAGTTACAATACTTTGCACTACCCAATACATCTTTCCTTACATAATTTCTCTCCTTTTCCATCCATTCTTTGGCTTTGATGTTGGTTTTTTAATTGGGTTCTTAATTGACGGATTGCAGGAGTTCGGTCAGAAAAGTTTAAATACAGTTTTTAATCTTGTCATATTTCTTTCTTAGTCAAATATTATATATCAAACTGACTACCGTCAAAATTAAAAAACAACATCTTTAAAATTTGAGAATAATTTTAGGAATATACTTGGGTGTAAAATCTTACAAAAACATTAAGTAATGTTTTTAAATATGGCACTCCGACTACAAAAGAGTCACAAAGCATAAAATGAGAGTAATTCTGAGCGGTGATTAACAAATTGAGAAGGCTTAAAAGAGCCATAAAAATAAACAGTATCCTGGATGTATACTCAGATACTATGAGTCAGGGATTAGTGTGGTATCTTGTCATTTATCTAATAATCATGTTTATTCAATTCACTTTATTGCAATGAACAACTTAATAAACAGCTGTCAAGTTATAAGAAGATGAAATTCTTCTTGATTTACGTAACAGATTTAGACCTGGAAATGGATCGTTTTGCAAAGAAAGCCACAATAACCAATCAGATTATTCTTGGGAAAAGTATGTGTAGTTTGAGGGCAGACAGCGTGCTACTTCCTGAAAACATCCAAAATGCAGAAGAGAACAAAAATCTGCTTGATAACTTGTTCCTGATTTAATAGTACTACTCTTTTCACTTAAATAAATTGTTGAACAGATCACAAAATTCCAAAAGTAGGTCTAGCAACTCAGATTTAGATTTAATACACTGATAAGATTTCCTTAAGAAGTCAATAACGAAATAGTTAAATAGCTTATGTAATGTCCAAGTAAAATTCAAATTATACAGATATTTACCGTAACAATGTGACTATTTACATTAACCAACTGGCAACAGGAGAGTACCGCACACTTAAATTATTACTTAATAAAAGCATAATTTTTGACTTGACATACACATGTAAAAATTAATCAAATTTAGTTGAATCTTAAAATTACTTTTCACCTTTCCTCTTTTGAACTCTTCGATGATTTCTTAAGCAGAAAAGAAGCTTTTAAAAACAGTTTATAATCATATTACAGCTAACAAAACTAACATCAAAAACAGTACTTGAATGTTTATTAAAAGCTTCCAGTCATTACAATGATTTTAAGACTAATAATAGCGTGATGTAATTTGAATCCATTTGCACTGAAATAAATTATTGCCCTTCGTTTCCACTTCCCTATATTTTCGAAGGACTCATCAACATTGTTCTCTAATATTAATCAAAACCGGAATAATCTCAGTTTCCAGCATTTGGCTCTATGGGAACAACTTTTCTAACATCTTCAAGCGATAAAAATGCTTATTAAAAAGGGGGAGAAAGAACTGAGAACAATTAGAAAGAACAAACGAATTTGTCATCCCCCGAGTGTCACGGAGATCTTTTTCTAGTTTCAAAGTAGTACAATTCAACTGCCAGGTAAAGCTCAAAGGTCGTCTTTTTGATTATGGTTCGGACGGTTCTCCTGCTTCTCTGTATTCCGTTTTAGCTTCAGTCTTCCTCTTCCTATCCCCTCTCTCTTGCCTCCAGGCCCCATTCCTTTAAAGCTTCACACTCGTGCTCCGTCTGGAAAAAAGAATTCTCTGAATGTTCAAACTTTCAAGGCTCCCTGCCGCCTGTCCCCGTCCTGGCCCCCGCCCCCACCGGCCGCCGCAGGAGGAAGCACCTGCAGGCGGGGCGGGGCGGGGCGCACATCTGGGGAGGGGGTGGCGCCCAACGGCCGCGCCGGGCTGGGGGATGGGAGCCTGCCCCCGCCCCCAGGCGGTGACTCATCTCGCGCACCGGCGGGCAGAGGTGAGCAGCCCGGGGCCGGAGCCGGGAGGCGGGGCCGCCAGGTCGGACAGGTCTGCTCCGCCCCGCCGCTCGCTCAGAGTGCGCAGTCCCTCGACGAGCTCGCATCGGCGGCCCGGCCCCGGGAGCGTCTGGCCGCGGGCTCCTCGACGCGGACGCACGCGCCCCACGCCTCGCGCCGTCCGCTCGGCCAGCGGGCTTCCGACGCCCCGTCCCTCGGCGCGCCCCCCGCCAACCCCGGCCCGCCTCGCTCCCCTCACCTCGGCGCGCGCAGCATGGCGCCTCTCCAGGTCCTCGCGTTCGCGCTCCTGCTCCTGGCGGCGACGGCCGCGGCTCAGAAAGGTGAGGAGCGGAGTGTGGGGTGCGATTGGGCGAGGCCTGGCGGGGGCTTGCCCTCGGGGCTTGGGGCGTACTGGCCCTCGGCACCCGGGACGGGCATTGTGGGGAAGGGGCGGGCGCGGGCTGCCCGGGCCAGGCCCGCGGCGCGAGGGAGGCGGCGGCGAGGCGCCCACTCGCGCGGGCCGGAGGGAGCGGCCTCGCTGGGGCGCTCTGCCTTCCTCTTAGGGACATGGCGCGGGGCAGGCAGGGACAGGTGTGGCCATGTCCGGGGATCCTTCGGCCTCTGCGTGGGCAAGGAGGGCCCAGGGCGGTGCCTGGCCGCACGACCACGCCTGGGCGCGCCCACTCCCCGGGCCGGGGCACACTTGGGGTTCTGGAGTGGCCGAAACCGGCTCCGCTGGGAGGGAAGTCTGCGACGGCGACCTGCCGGAGGCCCCCGTGTCGGTCTCGGGCGGCAACAGGTGGCTGCGGAGAGACCGCCAGGGCCGCTGCGCACCTGCGTGCGGGAGAAAGTCCTGAGTCTTGATCACGAGGCGTGTGGGTGTTTTCCCTCTTTTGGGGATCATATAAGTAACACCAGGTTTATTGTAGGGAACCCAGAAATATCGATAAAGGGTAAAAAAAAAACCCATAATCCCACCACTTCAAGAGAATCCCGTAATTAATAATTGGGTATGTTTTCATTTTAGACCTTACGCTAAACATTGCCCTAAACCTAAGCACATAGTTTTATATCTTGAGTTTTACCCCCACATCACATCCAGAGTTTTCTCTTTCCTTTGATCTTGAAAAACACGATTCAAATAGTGAAAGAACAGTCTATAGCGTGGAAGGTCGCACCATTATCCACATGGCAGACGTGTAGTTTGATTTCAGTTATCTTCCCCTGGAATAAAGATCTTGGCTGCTATCTCTTGATTTATCTGTAAGATGGTGGCTAGTAGTGAAGTGGCAGTTAGCCAAAGCTTTCTGGAAAGGCTTTTATACCCTCACCGACCGGGCAGGCCTAACTCATTATGCTTACAAAGTAATGCAGTTTAATGAACTCGTGGTTTTCTAGCTTCAGTCTGGGGTTAAATACTTAAATTGCTTTGAAGTGATGATAGCTGCTACCACGGAGGTTCAGAAAGTCTGTACCTGATAAGTCTGTTTTAAATTTCACATCCCTCGGGCATGAAAACTGCTTTGAGCAGGTATAGTATAGTGCTGCGTAAGATTTAACTCCTTCAGGACAGCCCCTTCACTTCCTCCTTTTGGGACCCTAATATTGAGTTTGGTGCTGGACAGATTATGTAGGTGTTTCATGTTATAATTTAAACAGGGAAAAATTAAAGCCTACTTGGAATAGGAAGGGTCAGTATAAAAATTCTTTGGTTTGCCATACTAGTTTTTTGTTTGTTTTTTTTGAGGAAGATTAGCCCTGAGCTAACTGCTGCCAATCCTCCTCTTTTTGCTGAGGAAGACTGGCCCTGAGCCAACATCTGTGCCCATCTTCCTCTACTTTATATCTGGGACGCCTACCACAGCGTGGCTTGCTAAGCGGTGCCGTGTCCACACCCGGATAGGAACTGGTGAACCCCGGCCACCGAGAAGTGGAATGTGCGCACTTAACTGCTGTGCCACCAGGCCGGCCCCCATAGTAGTTTTTATTTTTAATGATTGCACTCTCTTAGCTAGACAAATAAAAGGAATTAGATGGGCTTGCCAATTTGAAGTTAAAATGAACTTTTGAGAGTTATGTAACAAACTGAGATCAATACCCAGGATGAGCTGCTTAGTATCATTTTCAAAAGTGGGTACTAGGATATAATTTAGTTAGGAAACCCACAGGCTGAGGTGCCCCCAGATTCAGTTGAAAGTATAATTTTTCTAAGATTTAACATAGTCCAAGGATTAAATATGTTCCCATTAAATCCAAAAGCAAGCATCTCTTATTAAGAAAATGGGGCGAGGGGAGGGGGGGAATGTGAGCTATTCACAAATCCTACAGTTGGAATTGTTGATTTTGGGGAAGAGAGTTGATCACTGACTGGCAAGGGTTTGTGTTAGCCTTGTCCCTTATCTTAGAGGAGGGAGCTGACACTGGCAGTACCATAAAGGCGAAGCTGAATATGATGTTCGGAGGCATGTGTTGGTGGTCTAAAAGATCAAAATGGGAATGCATACAACTTAGACTATATGTCTTTATAGTCTAGGTTTTTGTTTTTGTTTTTGTTTTTAATTTTCTAGACTGTATCTGTGAAAACTACAAACTGACCACAAACTGCTCTGTGAACATGTATGGTCAATGCCAGTGTACTTCACTTGGTACACAAAATTCCGTCATTTGCTCAAAACGTGAGTAGAATGTCCTCATTGCCTTTGGACTTTTATTTTGACTTACACTTCTTTAATTGATGTGTCTTGAGTTGAGAAGTGTTTTATTGGCTCAAATATGAATTATGTGATTTTGTCAAAATTATCTCATCTCTGAAGCTTCTTACAATTTAGAAAGTGAACGTGGGAACATGTAAATCTGTGATAATCTCTGGCCCTGGGAGTTTGGAGTTACATTAAAGTTTTTTTCCATAAGTGTAAAACCACAGTTATTTTTCAGTTTGACATCAAGCTTTCTTTTCAGTGGCTAGCAAATGTTTGGTGATGAAGGCAGAAATGACTCACTCAAAGTCTGGGAGAAGAGTGAAGCCTGAGGGGGCCATCCAGAATAACGACGGGCTCTATGATCCCGACTGTGATGAGAAGGGGCTCTTTAAGGCCAAGCAGTGCAATGGGACCGCCATGTGCTGGTGTGTGAACACTGCCGGCGTCAGAAGAACTGATAAGGACTCTGAAATATCCTGCTTGGAACGAGTGAGGACCTAGTAAGTTGCCCATATATTACTTGTTTTTATGCTTTTCAGATTTGTTTAATTAAATTGGGTTTTGAATATGTAACATGATTTTATGGTTTAGAATTCAAAAGACAGAAAAGGGTGTACCGTGAGAAACCACAGTTTACCTCTATGGAACTGATGTCACCAGTTTATTCCATAACCTTCCAGAGATATTTTATGAAGTTACTAGCAATATATTTTTTCTTATTTTAAAATTTTTTTCTTATAGTATCATACTAAACATAATTGTCCTTTTATATTTTTACTTAGCGCTGTTCAGTATTTTAAAGTTGGATTAGTGTTAAATGTATGTGAATAATTTAAGCTATTTGTGTGTTTGCTTATTTATTGTGTTTTAAAGCGAGGTATGGTTGTCCTAGGGATTATGTAATGGAAAGGAATGGAAGCACACTCAAGCTAGCTTAAGCAGAAACGATTTTATTGGAAGGCACTAGAAACTGGAAAGTTATCAAGACCAAGGCAGGCCTTCTCTCCACTTCTGTCTTCTGGAGGCTCATGCTCACTTTTCTGTTTCTCTGAGTGCCTTTTTGTCTCTTCACTTGAATGTGACCCAACATGAGCAGTTAGGCCTTGACTTTACGTGACCTTGAGTGTTGTGTTCAGAGGATCAGTGTTGGAAAGGGTGTTCTGCCCTGTATGACTTGTTTATGAACGATGTGTGAGAGCCAAGGAAGAAATTAAGGGCACATCTATTGCATAAATCCTTTTTCTGTTAATTCTATGTATTTCCACTTGGGAATTTTAGTATTATCTTGTTAGGAAAATAAAGGACTGGGTTATAGTCATTCAACACTGTCTTTTTACTTAACAGCTGGATCATCATTGAACTAAAACACAAAACAAGAGAAAAACCTTATGATGTTCAAAGTTTGCAGAAGTAAGTGCTCTTAAATGCGTTATATTTGTGCAGTTGGTACTCAAACCTTCCATCCTACACCATTAGAAAAACTAAAACAAGTCTCAGTGCTTTTTAATATTTCTGAAAAATGAGATACTATAAATAATATTTTTAACCTTACTTTGAAATACAGTTTCAAGAATAGTGTAGATTCCTGTAGTACCCTTCACTCAGATTCACCGTTAAATACTTGGCCACATTTTCTTTTTATATGTGTATGCATATGTCTATGTGCTTTTCTGTATTTATCTAAGCATGTATAAGTATTTTTTCCCAGAACCATTTGAAAGCAAGTTGTAGAGGTTTGCTTCTTTACCCCTGAATACTTTAGTGTGTCTTTTCCTAGGAACAAAAGACATTCTCTTACATAACCGCCATATAGTTATCAAATTCAAGAAATTTCATGTTATACCATATTGTGCCAGTTTTCCCAGTGTTGTCCTTTGTGTCAATTTTTACCCTTCTGACCCAGGACCTAATTAATCTAAGATGACGCATTGCATTTATTGTCATGACTGTTTAGTCTCTTTTAATGTGGAACACTGTCTTGGCCTTTCATTGTCTTTCATGACATCGATATTTTTGAAGAGTGTGGGCAAGTTTTGTAGAATGTCCCTCAAATTTGGATTTGTCTGATGATTCCTCATAATTAAATCCAGGTTATGCATTTTTGCCAGAAACTTTACTTAAGTGATCTGTGTCCTCAGTACTTCACGTCAGGGTGCACGTGATGTCAGCTCCTCCCTTTACTAGTGATGGTAACCGTACTTAAGGCGGTGTCCACCAGCTTTCTCTACTGAGGGTTACCATTTTCCTCTTTGTAGTTAATAAATATAAACTGTGGACAGATACTTGGATATTATGTAAATATCCTGTTTCTGATCACACTGGAACTCAACAGTTTTTAGCATCAATGGATGAGTCTAGCTAGAATCAATTATTATTATGATAGTTGTAAAACGACATAAACTTTTTGACAAGTTTGGTGAATGGCAAT